GCCATAACTTTAACAGATTCTGGCTATAGTAGTTGCTTAGGAAGCAGGAACATAAAGTATCATGTATTGCTAGCAAATTCCAGAGAGGCTTTTATAAAACAATGCCTGCTAACAGGGAAGGAAACATCATCTGCCAAATTTACACAAGTAGATCACAGTGGTTAATCTGCAATAGTCCAGGGTCTAGTATTATCCCTATCATTGAGTAAATCATAGTTAGCGATTAAGTGTTTCCGTATGGTATTCTATAGCTTGCAGTAACATTGCCAAGAGCTGAATCCACAGCTCCTGCCTAGAGACAGGATAACATTCCAACAAGTAAGGCAATTATATGGAACAAACGCTGCTCTATTTTGCATGGTAGATTTTCTAAATTGTAATTTGAAAGTTTCCCACATTGGTTATATACCGATCACGGTACACTATCCACTTTAAATTAATGTGGTTAGCACCACTGGAATAATCTCCCCAGCGAAGTGGTGGATTCCCTAACATTGGACACTTTTAAGCTTCCACCAGACATGGGGCTGGGCCACCTTGTCTAGGCTGTGCTTTTGCCAAGAAAGGTTGGACCAGATGATCCTTGAGGTTCCTTCTAACCTGTATTCTATGATTCTATTGCAAGTAGACTGTGGTTTCTAATTCACTGCTCCCACTAAACTGTTGCCGTGGCAGCACTCCGCCAGCATCACTACATGCATGAACAGTCCTAGAGAAAGTGCAAGCAAGGACCAGTGACCACTGTGAGCGGCTGTTGTACCTCATACTGGTCGAGGAAGATGTGCAGCTGCTGCACGCTGATGCGCAGGTCAGTCTCATTGAACTCGTATGGAATGTTCCAACCCAACGGCCCAAAATTCCGCCTTTCTTGCACCAGCGCGTGGAAGAAGCAGAGGCCGTACAGCAATGTCTTGAACTCAGCCTTAAAACCAAATGGAACACCATTAATAATTACTGGCTTGTTTAAACCGTTTCATCTTTTCTCACGTCTTTGAGTCACTTAAAACCCAGCATCTCCTGTGCCGGTAACAAACGTTTTCTTGACATGCGAAGGCCTTCAGCAGGAAGTCATCAAATCAGTTCTAAATACTCTCTTAAACCAGTGTGAACCCTCAAAGCAATTTCATTTCTAATGCTATATATCCATGTATATGTAATTAATACATGACACATACAACTATACATATGAGACCATGTAACTATGAAATTTTTTTTACTCTACTGTATTATAAAATATTGTTTACATATTATTCCTGCTTTTTTTCTCTATCATGGTAGATTTCAGGCCTTTAAAGAAAAACTTCACATAGGAACTTCTGTTTTATTTTGTTCAGCTGAGATCATTTGGCAAAGTATATGACCTCATTTAGAAGAACTACATTAATTACAGAAAAACAATGTGAAATAATTTAAAATATCCTTGCAGACATCCAATTTATGAAGAGAATGGTTAAGATTTTTCAGAGTTTTTTTGTTTTGTTTTGTTTTTAAACGAGAGCTGTATTATTAATGCCATACCACAAAATCTCAATTGAAGAGGTAGGAGACAAGCAATAAACTGAAAACTAAATTTACTTCACTATTGCCAGTAATCAAACCCAGTTTTATTGCAGTGGAAGACAACTATTTAATTTGTGAGGTTTTCTCCCCCCAGAGCACATATACACAGTTATCAGGGTCTGCCTCTCCTGATTTACAAAGTTATAATACAACATTACTAACAGGTTTTCTGCAGGTGTTAAAAAAGTCAGGATCAGATATTGGATCCATCAGGTATGAACGAATTATATTGGCCCGTAAACCTTTTGGTGCCTCATTAGTCATCTTCACACCGTTCTGAAGTACAGACACTGGGAACGTGGTAGACGGGTAACTGGTGAGCCAGATTCGGAAATCTGGATGTGTTGTATCAGGATTTAGCTCCTACAATAAACACATATGAAAACAGGCAATTGGAAGACACAATAGATTAATATACACCTCAAGTGTTATTATAAAAACTATTTTTTTTTTTTAAGTGGGAAAATAAACCAGTCCAAAGTTTAATTTCTCAGATGCTTATATGTAATTATACTGAAAGTCACAGTCATGAATAACAACTTCCACAACTGGTATATTTTTTATTCAAGACTTCAGTATTCTGAACTAAAATTTGTTCTCTCTGTGCATGTTTGTGGAATATATCAACAAAATCAAGTGCAGGTTCTGTACCACAAGAGCAATGGAATGTATTCTTTGCCCATTTACTGCACTGTCATACAGCTGTTCTGGGACTAAAATTAGTAATAATATGTATACATCAGAAATGTGCTAAGTTTATTAAAGGGGAAAAAAAGAAATAAATATACTCTTTGGAAACCTATAGCTGAAACTCCTTTGCATACTGCTTTTCTGCAGTAATACACATAAGATGAAAGCTCTTGGCGTGAAGAGACTGTTGTAGCAGATGAGATTTACCATTCGTGGAGTGGGCCAGACCCACCTTCGAGAGCACTTTCTATTCCAGCAGGCAGAAGGAAAAAGAATCAATGTGGGATGATTACCCTTATATAATGGCAATCATCATGAAGTATGCTAAGCCGGTGTTTCAGTCACCTGTATGGATCAGACATGACTTCAGAAGTATTTAGAAGAAGAAAATAATACTTATTTTTACCTCACAGACTTTTTCCAGTATTGGCATCCATGAACTTGCTAGATGGCAATTTTGCAGAACTATCCATGTTCCTAACTTTACTGCCTTCTCTATCATCTTCATGGCTATCGGGCCTTGGCCTTGACCAAGTGACAGAGAACTAAGCTTTGCATCACCATATCCCTGCATATAGAAAGAATATTATAAGTCAGAATAACACTGAATAAATACACTGAACCTTCTGGTATAAGAGTTCACATCTATATTCTTGAAATATGTAATGTACAGTATATTTTAAAATGCAGTTTAAATATTTTTATCATGTCATTCCATTTGACTAAAACCTCTTCTCAATCTTCCAGTGAAAAGCTCTAACTACTCACCCAATTAATCCAGAACTGTAAAATTCTGACAGTTTCAAAATACTCCTGAAAACAGTATGCTCTTTAAGGATGTAGACAACCTACTCTAAAATGCAGGATACATTTGGAGCTTGGTGGCTGGAGAATTGAAGTATGGCTGTCATTCCCAACAGCACAGAATTCTGAGAGAATAATAGTCAGGAAATGCAAGAAATACATCTTAGCAGAAAATAGCAACCTTCTAGTATTTTAACAGACCTCTTCTGCATAAGAACCAATTTAGGCTGTTGGGATTTTTTTCTTTTAAATGCCATAATAATGACAGTCAAAGCCAACAAAAATCCATATTTGAATTCAGAGGTGTAAATGCCACCCAAGACCCTAAGGTCCTATATTACTACAGTGTTTTTTAATTAAGTAATATATTATGCATAATACTTACTAGAAAAAAAAAATCCGTTTTCAGATAACACGCCTTATAATGAACATTTAAACTATTATGGTTTTGTTCCTTTTTCCATTTTCCATTTGAGATTACACAAACTAATAGCTATATAGATCATGACATCAGAACATTATAAAATATGCCAAAAATTTTTAACATGCAATTTCTCATAAACAATAGACAATTTATTCATTCTTACAAACAATCCACTTAACATTAAGTAGTGCTTTGTGTTAAAGAGAACCATGAGATGAATTTTAACATGTTTTAGGGCAGTTAAAAGTAGGTTTTTGAGCTTACTTTGGCATTTCAACTTTTACTTAAATAAAGTTCCTTGCTTCATACAAACATAGGTGTGTGTGTGCACATACAAGCATCAACTATATTAAAAAGTCTGGATATAATAAAATACCTGATCATCAGCAAACTTAACAAGGGCTGCCATGGGGTCAGCACCAGGAGAAAGTATGAATATCAGTGGTGTACAAGAATGACTATCAGAAAATGCTTTTGACAAATCAAATGGAGGTGGCTCAATAAATGGACGGCCCAGGTTGTGAATGATAAATTCCTGCACCATTGGTATTATCTAAAAAGAAAAAAAAAAAAAAAAGAAAAATAGAATTAAAGTGTCCTGGTTTTGTGTAAGCACTAACACATGTTACTCTAAACACTGTAATATAATTTTCAAGAACAATATTCCTGCATATAAAATTAGATACAAGTACAGTCCCAGAGGAATCAATTAATTAGGATGTGTTAGGATGTGTAAATCTAGGCAAAAAAAGATGCTCTAGGAGGTTTAGAATTTGAAGTCCTATGCAAATGATCCTTAATCTCATTTCTGTCACCACATCTGGACAGACTAATGGGCTGGTATAGGAAGCCAGAATTTTTTCAGTACTTAATCCATCTGTGTTAGGGAGAGGATTTCAATTTTCAAGTCTTATAATGCAACACCTTTCAAAGGTGTTAAGATCTTGGCTTAGAAAACTGCTGTGTACAGCAGTCGTGTAGACACTGGTGTTTAAACTTCCTGCTGAAGTTAACTGGGCTCTGGACCAAAGTGAGAAACAATTTATGAAATGACACCTTAATGCTTTGATCCTGCAAACCCTTACAGGTATAATTCTTTTAAATATCACCATTCATTCTATCTCTGGAGACATTCTAGAATATTTTACAATAACCACCTCCCCTTTAAAGAAATGCAACAGTATTTGCAAATGTGATACTAAGATTTAATCTCTGAACAAAAATTCAAGAAAGGCTAAGGGTTTCAAATAGCAATGTTAATTCAACCACAGTGGTCACAATCAGTATAATATTTTTAAAAATTTCATTTGTAAGATTGTTGTCTTTGTAACTAGAGTTTGCAATGTGCATTTTTGACATTTGAATTATAAAATATGTAATTTTCATGCTGTATTATCACAGGTGCTTTCCATTAATAAATATATAGTGTGCCAAGTACACAGGGAAGAAAAAAAGTTCCAGTAGCTTCATTTCTCTTGATTGTCCTGCTCATAAACTCACCTGTGTTTTTACTTACTTTAAAACTTACCCTGCTTTACAGGTGCAATGTGTCACCAATTAGTATAATGCCTTAAATTTGAGAGCAGGAAGGAGGCTCTGGGCTACCCTAATTGCAAGCTTTAAAGATGGAGAAGCTCTTGAAAGAGCTTGGTTCAGCTTCCAAGTTCTTGAATGATTTTAAGGATATGTATGTATATGAGAATCGTCTAAAAACCTTCACAAACTGGCCCTTTGTAGAGAACTGCAAGTGCACTCCAGAGAATGTAAGTCTGAAAATGGATATTTTGACTATGCTCTATTTTTTATATAATGTGTGTGAATGTGAAATCATTATTAAGTATATTCAAGAAGAGTTGTGAGCTTCCACTAAGCCTGAAGAAGATGAAAAGTTGAATACTCCAACTTTCCTCTGGTCCCTGCTCAGAAATACAGGCTTACTTAATTTTTAGTGTTCTGACCAGATGTGATTCTAAAGTGATGGGAAAACACAGAAGTTAAAGATGTAGCATTTCACATAGTTTATATTTAAAGGTTCTCTATGTCGATGGTCTTATGCTATGTTTTTTTCTCCAAAAATATTCTTTAAAGTCCTGGCTATGGCAGATTGCATGTGCTGCTACTGAAATGCCTGTGTAGCAGGGCGTCTACTAGACGTTATCTGGTAAAACAAAGCTACACTGGTAGCCTGCAGACACCACAGCTATGGAGAAATCCATTTGCTACTTGTGGCCTATTTCTTGTTCCTTTACTAGCTGCTTATTTACCTGCTTGCAGTCCTCACACTGAAAATTTATTTTACAACCTGATCTGTGCTGATACACATTGGGAGGAAAGGCATTATTTACAAGCTCTCAGAAACAGGATGATGTGAACATGAGCTGTGTGTTGGATGAAGCTTTAAACTTCTAAACTGTCACTTGCAGATGGCAAAGGCGGGTTTTGTCCACTGTCCAAGTGCAGATGAACCTGATGTGGCAAAATGTTTCTTTTGCTTGATAGAACTGGAGGGCTGGGAACCAAATGATGACCCATGGTAAGCACAGATGTAACTATGTTCTTGAAGTAAACTTCTTAGACAACATCCCCTTACTCATTATAAAATTACCAATTTCTCTCTAACAGTTCACAAAACTGAAGCCTACTGAAAGTTTCTCTTAGCCAGTAACCTTGAAGTAGTTCAACTAGGTTTTATCCGAGATCCACTAAAATCTATTCCATATGTTTTATGTATGACACTTTTTCTACTTATAGACAGCAGAAGTACTGAAGAGACCTGTCTAGATTTCTTCATCTCCTGAGATGTACCTTTCATGGTTTTATTATCTGTTCTTATTCTGGGTTTGCATTGCAGGGAGGAACACACTAAACGTAGCAGCTGTGGCTTTTTATCCCTTACAAAGCCCTTTGATGACCTGACAGTGGAGGAGTACTGCATGCTGGAGAAGACAAGAGTGAGAACCTTCCTTGTAAGTGTTAACCAAATAATCAAAAATAGGCAAAAACTTTCACCTTTAAGATTTCCAAGCATCAGCGAAGAGTGATTGTGTAAGACTAGAATATTACTTATTCTGAAGTACTGATTTATGTGCATTATTAGTTAAAAATCTTTACTTAAACACTTATCAGTGTAGTCTGTTGCCTAGCTTTTGAAGGAAAACCTGTTTCCTTTAGAAATGTTTTTCCAACAACTCATTACAGCAGAAAAAATACGTTGGGTTCAATAATCAATCGATCTGGGAAACTCTACAATAAGCAGCTCTATCTTTCTCAGGAGAGATGAACAACACATGTGAAAAGACAAAATTTGACTAGATCATTGTTTCAGATGTCCAGTTTTACATGTAAATCAGTCAAAGCTTCCATACTTCACAGCCCATTTCAAACATTTTGCAGTTATCCAGTTTTACTCCTCCCCAATTCTGGGATTTCATGCATGCCATAGTATTGACATATACAAAAGCACTCAAAACTGAGCTGCCTCAACTAGTTGATCAAGATCAGCTGATCTTTGCTATATGACCCCTAATCCTATGGATAGTAAGAATAAATGAACCAGGTTCCTTGATGAGGCATAGTAAAGGTTCTACATCTTGCTACCTGGTGTGTTTGCACAAATAAGATCTTTGCCTTGCTGATAATGCTCTGTATTGAAAATACAATGGTGACTGTCAAGGTTAAGTATTTAAGTTCCCTGTACAACAGTCTCAAGTACATAAAAATACAATTACATGCCACAGTGGGAGTAGTCTGTTATCTTAAGAGGTGGACTAAGAGTGAGAAGATGATGTTGTTACCTAACCTGATCAGTGACTTATTTAGAGCAGTGTTCCAAGTAACAAAAGGGGTCTTGGTTATAATATTACTTTATTTCTAAGTACAGCATATAGAAAACTTGAAGCAGCAGCCCCCAAGAATACTGTCACCAATAGCTTGGAGGGCTATGCACTAGGGCTGATCCCATTGCATGCTAACAAGTGAAATCATGCCTCTTTCTCCAGAAGAAAAAATCAAACTGAAGTCTCCCTCCCTTATGTGATTTAAAATACAGCTAAACAGGAGGTTCACAACTTACTTTCAATTAAAAAGTATACTAGACATACCCAAAAGTAGTCACTGAACTGAGCCCCGGTGGCAAGGCTGGTAGAGAAGTTTCTGAATCAAACGGGGATATGCATATGAAGTATCTGCTAAACTGCTTTGCACCATTCAGACAGCAGTATTTCTGGTGATAGCCAAAAGTAGACTTCTAAGCTAGAACTAGTGGCAGATCAGTGGGGTTTTCTGAATGTAGTTGAACTAGACAGTTAAATTGCTCAATTAAAAGTCTCAATCTTTTGCTTTGCTTTAAGTGCAAAACTGGCAGAAGCATCATAAACTCTTTTGAAGAAGAAGTCGCTGCAACTAGGCAGCGTCTTGTGGATAACTTTGTCTCCAAGCATCAGTATACACCACCACCACCACCAGTGCCTCTCCATGCTGGTCCATCTGCCCAACATTCTGAAAGCTCATCCTGCCAGTCAAAAAAAGAATCCATGAGAAGTAAAGTGTAAAGTCTGACTCTGAAAGTTTCTCTTCTTGATATGGTACAAATATGTGTATTTTTATCTGACTACTAATATACACCTAAACGGTTGTGTGAGGAATTGTAGAGAATTCCCTTATGAGCCTCTCTGGAACAGAGATCATAACTGTTTATACAAACTCCTACCTTTAACAATGTGCTTTGTCATTGTGGCTATGTGTGGACTAATAATAGTATTCTGTTTTTTAGCAGGTTGATTTTTGCGGAATAAAGATTCACAGCTGTGAGTGCATATTGTGATCTGTGCCACACTCAAGTCTTGCAGCTAGACAGAAACAAATCAGAACAGTTCCGCTTCAAAACACTTTCCATAGAACAAAATGGATCTGTGTGTCTGCAATAATTGCTACCTTTAAGCACCTACATTATCTACACTCTTGCTTACTATTAAATTATCTTCCTAAATCAACAAAATTTACCATAGATATTGACATCCATCAGAAAGGTTACTTAAGTAAAAAGAGCAGGTGTACTGAAAAATGAAAGTCAAAAGGTTTGTAAGTCTCAAGGAGTAAGAGCTCGGTGGCTTTAGGTGCATACAACACGACTTGAAACTAACAAAACGTAACAAAAGCTAAAGGTCTATAAAAAGCTTTTCCATTACCATTTCAATTTCAAATTTGCTGGGGTTTTTAAATCTCTATTTCCTATTTTCCTTTATGATATACTGTTGTAGAATAGTTGTAGACAACACAGTTGAGATGTACACTTGCAAAGACTTCTGGTTTCTAAGATGGGCAGATGTTTTTGAATAAGGAAAAGTATTGTACATACTTTGTCAGGTCTCAGGCAGCGAATGAGAAGCATCCTTTGGAATTCCCCCAACCTGTCTTGCCACTCTGCAGGAAAATCCTCATGCTGGGGATCCTAAAAACATACGTATTTCAACATTTTTTTAAAGGATTTGCAGTAAATTATCTTTTCACATGACACATCATATCTATGATGTATTTTCTTCTTAAACTACAGAAATGGGGTTGACATGCTTAAAGTTTTTTTAAAGGCCCACAAGTTTAAATATACATTTATCTAAGAAGCTTCTCTCATAGCAGGAAAGTTATAGTAATATTTGAGTGTTTAGAAGATAACAACCCAAAGTTCTTCTCTAGGAAGTGGAGAACAATGATAATCGCATTACAGTTTTACATGACAACTCAGAGTGAGGTCGCATCTGAATGCAGAAAATGAGTGCCGGAAAAAAAGAACCAGAAAAGTCAAACAATGTACCAGAGGACTTAGTTTGTAAATGGCCTATGAATAATCCCACTCTTATGGTGTTTTTGCAGTTACCAGATTGGGCACAGCAGTCATTGTGTGGCATATTAGCTTCTTATTAGACTGAAGTACAGTGCCAGCTAAGTATGCCTTTCTGGAAACTGGTCTTACACCTCTGCTGGTGAGCTTCTTAGGATTGCAGAGGGTTGGGCAATGAGGTATGCAGACAGACCTGCACAAACTGCATTCTGAGCAACTTTAATTTAGCAAATCAAATCACAACGGAGCTCATGTTCTGCTAAGGATCTGGAGCCTCACTCCTTCCCCAACTTCTAGACACTTAGTTTCAGATCAGAATCCAGAATGCTGCATTATTTTTATATTAATGTATGGGAAAAATAGACACCTCAGAAGGACATCTATAACAGTTGTTGAAGAGTTTAGATAAAAATTTGAAAGCTTTGTAGAAAACTGAGTGAATTCGGAAACACTGAGGAGCAAAGGTTGCACTGAAGACTCCATTGGGTTGTGCCACTGTGCTGAAAACTCTTCACTGCTCTGTGAGAAGAAATGCAGCAGTAGCTTTGAGATTAAGGCAGTCAGCTAGAGGAGAACTGAGTTTCAGTCCCTATTCCAAGATATGCAATACAACTTTAGGTAAAATACATGGAATCCTTGAACTGGGCAGTTGAAGTAAGGTCTGCCCTACATTTGAAATCAACCTGATCTACAACAGTAGGAGGAGAAAAGTGCATCTCAATGTCCATTGAAAAACATTCATGTTCAGTGTATGGTTGCTGATGACAAAGTGGCTCAAGCAACACTGACTTTGTGCCCTCTCTTTAACACACATGCATGAAACTGCCCTGTATTTAAATTTGTGTATCATTAACAAGAAAGGAGAAAGAACTGGTTGCATATTACTGGGAATAAACTATACTGGTGATAAAAAAATACAGCTATCAAAAAGGAACCTTCCCCAAGATCCATTAACTAGCACTTCTGAAAATTTTAGTGCATTCACATGAAAGTACTAGTATTAAAGCTAGATAAGTAACAAAATGTTTCACACAAGAAGTAAAAGGCATAGCAACTCTTCTGTATCAGGACACTGATAGATAATGCTTTTCCTTTTGATCTAGCACTCAAGGTTCAGTAACTGAACGTTCCTGGCTTCAGTGTTGCTGGTTATTAGATTCTTTATCAGTTAAATGATGACCTGATTCTACAGATCTCATTTTATTGAATGCCACTTAAATGAAGGAATTTCAGTTTATTTCAGTTTGGCTGTGTGAATGCACCATAGCTATCACACACACCTTGAATCCTTACTCCTGAAAGTCAGCACCTTTGATTTATTTTAGGCATTGCTTTAAAAAGCTGTAATTCCAAAGTACATAACAAAGTAGTCCCCTCCCTCAATGTCTTTTTCAAACACCATCACGTGTCTCTTCATTTTTCTAAGTGATTATTTCCCAAACAACAACTAAACCCCTCAGCTTGCTATATCTTTTTGTAAATGTCCAAGGAAACCTTTATCTCTGCTGTTTGCCTGTTTCCTGTGATCTGGACAACTGGAGGAGCTACAGCTGCTTAGTTTCTTTAAAGTCTCTCATCTTATGAGCATTTCCAACCAAAAATCCATTCTTTTCCTCTCCGCATACTTTAAGCCCATTTTTTTTAAATAGAAAGGATCTCTAAATCCTTGACACAACAAATAAAACACACAATCTTTTTGGAATGGGTGTTTTGAATGAATATTGGTGATAAATTTTCATCATTTAACAGTGAGAAAAGTGCTAGCACAAATAGACAGTATTATCTGAACATGGAAGTGGCTATGGTCAGATGTGGTGCAAGTAGGAAGGGAGGATAACTTCTTAAATCATTTGTTCAGGAGGTATGTGTATAATGAGCACTTTGCATATCAAGAAGAAGGGGGAGAAATATGATAAAATAAAGAAGTTAATAAAGATGAAGCAAGTGCCCAAATGTGGAGTAAAATGCATCTAAAAAGCTTAGATTTTAAAGAAACAGTGGTGAAGTTATATGAAGACAAAGTAAGTATCCTGGGTTTAACTCCAGCCAGCAACTAAGCACCACACAGCTGCTCGCTCACTCACCCTCCCCACCAGCAAGATGGGGGAGGAGAATTGGAATGGTAAAAGTGAAAAAACTTCTGGGTTGAGATAAGAACAGCTTAATAATGAAAATAAAATACTACTACTACTAATAATAATGGAATGAAAAGGAAAATAACAAAGAAATAAAACCCATGACAGACAAGTGATGCAAATGAAACGAATTGCTCACAGCCAACTGATCGATGCTCCACTCCCTGAGCAGCCACCCCCCAGCCACCCCTCCCCCAGCTCCATATGCTGAGCGTGATGTCATACGGCCTGGGACATCCCTGGGGTCAGTTGGGGGCAGCTGTCCCGGCTGTGTCCCCTCCCAACTCCCCGTGCCCCACAGCCACTCGCTGGTGGGCTGAGAGGCAGAAGAGGCCTCGGGTCTGTGTGAGCCCTGCTCAGCAGTAATGAAAACATCCCTGTGTTATCAACACTTTTCATCACAAAACTGAAACTGTGCTGGTTTTGGCTGGGATAGAATTAATTTCCTCCATATTAGCTTGTATGGGACTATGTTTTGGATTTATACTGGAATGTTTGTTACTACAGGGATGTTTTTGTTACCTGTTGTTGTTTCACATTATCACTCTAGGTTTTGTTGCCTTTTTAACATCCAAATTCAATTCAAATCATGACTTGCTATTCAGAAGGCACCTGACAAACTGGCAATAACCTACTACTACATAACATTTGCTTAAATATTTACATTCATATATGCAAAAGCGTACCATGTAAAATGACAGCACTTTCTTTTCCCTGAATAAATATTTCCAATGTGTTAATTAGCTCATGAATGCAAGCAATCAAGAATGTTAACGTACCAAACTGTCATATACCAATTTCCATCCATCCTTCAGTCGTGTAAAATCCTGACGAATGTTTGTGAAGCATGGCAAATCTTCCAGTCGACAAATTTCATCCCATGATTTTGGAGGAAGCCAGGTACATGGATTAGAAAAGGGATTGTCCAAACCTATGCCTCCAGTCAAGAGAAATTTCCACTCATTCTCATTGATCTACAATGAAAAACACTGCTCTCAGGACTAAATAAAAAAAATCTAATGGTTTTAGTACATTATGTAGGAAATTAATACCTATATCTGAATTCTTGCATTAGTTGATAAAGCTTCTATACAACTACTAAAAACTTATTTCCAAAGTTTTCACCTGTCTGGTTTTCAGTTAAACGTGAATTTAAGGAATCAAAAAAATCTAAGATATAAGCCAATTTAAAGATTCATCTGCATTCCTAACTTGGGGAATGAACAATGTTAACTGAATAGATTTTTAGACCTATTCTTCCAATCCCAGAATGTTGAAGGAAAAAGCCACTGGACATATTTCAGGAAACCATGCATTTTGCAACCTTTCCCCATAATGGAAGTCTAAATATGAAAAAGAAATATCAGCCTATTAAATGTCTCATTTCTTTCACAGTACTCCTTTATTTCAAAATCTCTTTCATGGCTTGAATTTCCAAATTGAAGTCCCTGTGAATGTGAGAACGGTGTCCATGATTATTACTGTCAGTTCTTGAAAGAATTTACCTCTATGTATTCCCCAAGATACAAATTTTAAATGTTTCTATATTACACTGAAATAAACAACTCCAAGCAACCATAAGTACTGGTTTGCAGGTGATATGGTTGAAATGTGTGTATTTAATTATGGATTTAAAAAATCCTGTAAAGAAACATTTTGTAAAGAGTTACTAGAAGTAAAGAGAATTCACAGTTGGTACAAGTATTTGATTTTGAGG